TGGCTGAAAGCAGGTTTCTGGGGTTTGTTTAGCTTCTATAATTGCAACATTGTTTCTTAGAGTGCAGCTCAGAGGCCGGCAGCGGCAGGCGGGGAACCTTGGCTTCCTCCATCACTGGAGCAAGCAAGCCTCCTGTTCACTTCAGCTGCCTGGCTGCCGGCCGCCATCTTGGTTGGCGGTTAATTTGCATATTGCCCTGATTAGCCAATGGGAAGGGAAGCGAAGTTACGGTTAATTACCATGTTTGTCTATTATTAGATAGGATTCCTGCTCAGTCTTCAATTATTTTTTTTTAAATATATTTTATTGATTTTTTTACAGAGAGGAATAGAGAGTTAGAAACATCGATGAGAGAGAAACACCGATCAGCTGCCTCCTGCACACCCCCTACTGGGGATGTGCCCGCAACCAAGGTACATGCCCTTGACCGGAATCGAACCTGGGACCCTTCAGTCCGCAGGCTGACGCTCTATCCACTGAGCCAAACCAGTGAGGGCAAGTCTTCAATTATTAAATAAATATATTTTTCTTTCTAATTTCAATTCTAAAATGAAAATTTTAAAAGCAATTTTATTTTCAGTTTATTACTTAATGATCTGTAAAAGGAATATGGTAAACTATAATTTTTTGAGAAAGTACTCACCATTACCACCAAAGATATGAATATCCAATTGTTCACAAAGGTACATTACAAATGTATTCACCTGAGGCAGGAGACCAACGAAAAATACTATTGGGAAACAGAGTGTAAACACTATAGAAGGAAAGAAAAGCATATTAAAAATAGTATACCTCATCTATCGTTTTGTTCATTTAAGATCAGAAAATGATAAAAAGAAATCCCAAATTAACTTAACTACAAAGCAAATTTTAAAAGATATCACTCTACATTATTTCTCTCTACATTAACTGCTTGGGTATTCAAAATAATCTTTTCAATTATAACAGCTTTTAAAATTGTTTCAATCATTTTCACACAATAGAAACCTAAGGCACAGAATCCAAAGGAAGCCTTTCATCATCTCTTCTAAGAATAGAATAATTACTATATTTGTTCATCATTAGCTTTTCTTCATCCATAATACTCCTATAGTTCTGTTCCTCACTGAGAGGATTACACTATACAACAAAACAAGCCTATTAAAACTACGTTTAGCCATGCTTGAGTGGCTCAGTGGTTGAGTGACAACCTATGAACCAGGAGGTGACAGTTAAATTCCAGGTCAGGGCACATGTGTGGGCTCAATCCCCAGTGGGGAGTGGGCAGGAAGCAGCCAGTCAATGATTCTCTCTCATCATTGATGTTTCTATTTCTCTCTCTCCCTCTCTGAAATAAATAAAAATATACATTTAAAAAAACAAACAAACAACTACTTTCATCTATGCAACTGACCTATTTATCAGTGAACTGTGTACAAATAAATTAATGTTAAGATCTGAGATATTTTAAAAATGACTCACCTATAACTAAATCCCTGGCTGATATAAGCACCAGTGGATTGGTAAAAGTTATTCCATATAATTTGAACTTGGTTGTAGTAAGGTTTCTGCTTCCATAATCCAAGAGCCAAATAAGACCACAACATAAACAGAAATAAACTGGTCTACTGTAGGCAATGATACGATTATGACCCTGAAAATGGTATTAAAAAACAAGTTAGTTTAGATAATTTTAAGAGTCACAACTGACTACTGAGATTTTTTTATGGCTTCTATTCTAAGGGTAGAAGTTTGCATATGGAAACTGTCGCAAAAGGGAATTACAAATATGGAAAGGAGGAAGAACTAAATAAACCCTGTGACACTGGATTCAATTACAGTTATCAGTATAAGCTCATAATTTTTAATATGTATATAAACAGATATAAGAATAGGTGTGTGTGTGTTGGTGTGTATAAAGTTGACCCTTGAATTGTTAGGGGCACCAATACTGCCCCCTAACAGTTGAAAATCTGCATATAACTTTTTACTGCTCAAAAACTTTAACTACTAATAGCCTACCTATATTGACTGGAAGCCTAACCAATAACATAAATAGTTGCCTGACATATATTATGTATGTTATATGTATTATATACTGTATTCTTATAATAAAATAAGTTAGAGAAAAGAAAATGTTATTTAAAAAATCATTAGGAATAAAAAATACATTTACAGTATTTATTGAAAACAATCTATGTATAAGTGGACCCATGCAGTTCAAACCGGTATTGTTCAAGGGCCAACTGTATATATGTATGTATGTACATATGTATATACATACATATTATTTCCCAGCTTTAGCCAATGAGAGGGCCTAGAAGCAACAACATTCTAGTAATATAGATTACTGCCAGCCAGATCTCAGTTTATAAATACCATTACTCAGTAAAAAGAACCAGTGCTCCATGGAGAAAAGGCTGGTTTCAGACTAGAGTAGAGAAAGTATAATGTGAGCTTGGAACATATTGTTAGGCAAAAAAAAGGAAGGAAGTACTTAAAGATTGATAAGGATATGTCAAAAGTATACAGAAGGCAGCTTGATAGACTCCCAAATGACCAAATCAGAAATAATTTGAACATCAAAATAAATAATGATAGTGACATCATATAGTTGATTGAATAAGAATCTATAAATATGCACCAATACAAAAAATAAAGACAAGGGAAAGTTATTCCTTACTTACTGTGATGGTTCAGGCAAGAAACATCAACAGATATTAAAAACAAGTCTGAGGGGCAACTGGACATATATAATCTCAAAGTATCTCTCTAAGGATATTTATTAACTACAACAGAAAAATAGTAACATTTGAGTAGTGGTTCTCAAGGGAGTGGGAGGGGATTTGGACCCCCAGGGGATATCGGCAATGTTGGTTGTCACAATTGGGGTGGGGGTACTATTGACATCTAGTGGGCAGAGATCAGAGATAAAGCTAAGTATCCTATAATGCACAGGACAGCACCCTCATCTACAACAAAAATTATCCAGGCCAAAATGTTAGTATTGCAGAGGTTAAAAACCCTGCAGGCACTAACTATCCTTAGCCAAAAGATGAAAATTAACACCACCAAGAAAAGGTTAAATCGACATCATGTGCTTCCTGAAGTGATACACTGAGAACATGACTGTTGAGTGTTCCTATCAAAAGCACAGCCTATATCTAATCAAGAAGAAACATCAGACAAACTCAAACTGATGAATGGTCTACAAAATAACGGGCCTGTACCCATCACAAATGCCAATATCATGACAGACAAAGGAATTGCTGCAGATTAGAGCAGGCTAAAAAACCAAATGCGTAATCAGGGATTTTTTTATTGCCAACTGAAAAACAGGAAGCACCTGAGTAAGAATTGTGGCTTAGAAAATAGTATTGTATTAATATTAATGTCCCAATTTTGATAATTATATTTAATTAATGTAAAGAAATGCCTTTGTTTCTAGGAATTACACGCTGAGGTATTTAGAGTTATAGGGGCATCGTGTCTACGATTCTCTCTCAAACAGTTTAGAAACTGTGTGTGTGTGTGTGAGTGGATAGGGAGAGAGAGAAGAAAACAAGAAAGGGAATAACCAAATATGGTGAAATGTTTACACAGGGATCTGGGTGAATAGCATCAGGAATTCTTTGTACAATTTTTGCAAATTTTCCCTAAGTCTGAAATTATGTAAAAATAAAAACTTCAATATTTCCATATATCATTACACTTCAAAAGCATTCTTACGAAACAATAAGCAAGTAGTTGAAAGACTGTCATGTGCCTCTGTGTTTTGTTTTGCTCATCTCGTCTCAGTAAATGTTTCTGTATATGGGTAAAAGCACCTATATTCAAGAAAAAAGGCATCATCATAACTGTTCTTGGAGTCTAATTTTGAACTACTTTAAAGAGAATGCCCTTCAGTCTTTCTATTAAATAAATATTTCAGTGTGAGATCTAAAGCTGAATCATGCTTTAAAATAGTACTGGGGAGCTAATACTTATCTTAAGTCACAAAGTGAATAACAGTATTTTTAATCTCCTTTGTGTCTATGGGTCTAAACACCAGATCAATGTATTTCTTCTTCATTCTTGCTCCTAATGATTACTGAAGCAAAATAATGTAAAGTTTTTCCTACTTCAAAATTCTATTTTTCAATATTTACTCATGATTTATTGTTCAAAAGTTAGTAAATGCAGGTTATCAAATAATCATGATTTTATATGAACCATGTTTACCTAGTTGACAGGCTGTAAAAAATGAATTATTATGCTCATTTTCAATCAAGATTTAGAGTCCACAATTACAATGGCATTTTATTTCATGCTAATAAACCACCTTCATTTCTAGGAGTGTGTCAAAACTTAGATGAGAATATAGTAACATAAATCTTCATTCAATCTGACATATGACCCCCAAAAAGGTTTGATGCATGTTAAAGAACTATGAGTTACAGGCATATGAGAGTGACTTACATGTCTGGGGGAAGAAGAATCTGGCTGAACACTCTAAAAATGAAATAGAAAGAGAGATTATCCTACTGAAGTCCTGGTAATTTTACAAGCAACTTTCAAATGCCTGAAATAATTTCAGTAAATATTCCACAGGTAAGAAATGACCTACATTAATTGTGTTGAAACATTAACAGAAGATAAAACATCATTTCCAGGCAGTGGTGTCACTATCGTATTAAAAAACATCTAAAATCTTTGTAGACTCTTAAACTTATTTATTGTTAATGAACCATTTGCATCTAGTTAAACGTTTTGGAAATGGCACATGGTTGACAGATCCATCCTACTGCTTGCCTCATTACTACAAATAAGTATGTTATGGTAGAACGCTTCCTGTTTTTCTTAAATCTTAAGATTTTTCCATTACCGTTTACTTTCAATATTATTTTGTACTACTTTCAGATGTACAGCATAGTGGTTAATCATATACTTAGGTAGAATGTTCTCTTATGTAGCATTATACCTTTCCGGAAATGCACAGAACATGGGTTATCTTATAAAAAGAATTCTAGTTCTGCCCATAAATTCCACACTTACTAAACAATTCAATGGTATTTGTATTAAATACATTATCTGCATTTTCATATAAAAATCATCCAATAAGTTAGGCAATATCTTTGCAAGAGATTTTATCAACGTTCCATAAAAATGTCCAATAGGTTTTATTACTTCCCAAATCATGACTTTTCTTTCCAATAGCAAAACCAACAATTTCACTAAGATGGTCTATCACCACCCTACATTTCCAGATTGGACTATGCCTGCTGAGTTAGGCATGTGGCTCTTGGCAGGATATGAGATGAGGCATTCTTTCTTTTTTTTCTTAATATATATTTTTATTTATTTTAGAGAAGAAGGGAGAAGGAGAGAGAGACAGAAACATCACAGATGAGAGAGAATCAATGATCGGCTGCCTCCTGCATGCCCCACACTGGGGATCGAGCCTGCAACTTGGGCATGTGCCCTTGACCGGAATCCAACCTGGGGACCTCCCAGTCTGCAGAATGACTCTCTATCCACTGAGCCAAACCAGTCAGGGCTGAGGCATTCTTTCAATTCCAACATCTATCCTTTAAAGCTTCTGTTCAGCCTTTCTTATATCTTTTTATGACATTACTATTCTTCTAGTTAACTAATTTCAACAATCTGTCATATTTTACCTTTTCCATGTCTAACCATATTAACCTAAAAGCAGCAAACAAGATGAATGGGACAGGAAACATTGGAACCAGGGAATGAATTTAAATGGTTTAAGACAATAAAGGAATGAATTAAGGTGGTTAAAATGGAAAGCAAGAACAAAGGCCAGATAACATAAGATCACCACATTTAATCAAAGTAACCTGGAACGAGTAGAGGCTCTAAGATTTTGAGTACTACTGTCAAAAGCAAAGCAACTGGGAAAGGAAAATATTTATCAGAAGATGATGATGTGCTATTTTTAAATGTGCCAAATGCCTGTTAAATATATAGGACTAAAGCTTGTGAAAAAGATGAGGACTTTGAGATATAAAACTGGGCATAATTCCTATATAGGCATAACAAATAAAGTAATAAAACAGTATGACTTCACTGCAAGGAATTGCAAATTGGGAAGAGGGCCAAATAAAACCCTAGAGAATTCTCATAAATTAAGAAGTAGTCAAAAGAACAAAGAGGGGCTTCCAGTCAAGATGGCAGCATAGCCTGGCTGGTGTTGCTCAGTGGTTAAGCATCCACCTATGAACCAGGAGGTCACGGTTCAATTCCCAGTCAGGGCACATGCCCAAGTTGTGGGCTCTATCCTTGGTGGGCAGTGTGCAGGAGGCAGCTGATCACTGAGTCTCTCTCGTCACTGATGTTTCTGGCTCTCTCTCCCTCTCCCTTCCTCTCTAAAATCAATAAAAATATATTAAAATAAATAAAATAAAGTCACAAACAATAATGAAGAGAATGTAAAAATAGAAGACAGTATTCATAGATGTTAAGTGAATACTTATAGAGAATGAAGCCTAAGAAAAAGACATAAATTTGGCAATTTGAGATTACGTGCAACCACAAAGACTGTAATTTTAGTACTGCAATAAGGAAAAAAGTATGAATGGGCCCTGAAGAAATGAAGTAGTTGACATAGGCAGTTTATTCAGTCAGATGCCTATCAATAACATCTGGACAGCTGATGGTATAAACAGAACTAAGCAAATAGTTTTCAAGATGGGAGAGTGTTCTTCATGTTAGCATATATCAGGCAAATAACCAATACAAGCAAGAGTATTTACTGGTTATGAAAGAAAGGAAAGAAGACAGTCCATGTTAACAGTCCACAGATTTTGCATAGGAGGTAAAAAATTTGGTATATGATTCTCCCATTTTTTGAAAGCTTAAAATTGATCAATTTTGATATTATAGAGCCACTATTAAAACAACAGCAAAAGGATGCCAATCTTTTCTTTTCAATGTCCCAAAGGAACATACTAGTTTTGACATTATTGTTATCTATCAATGATGAATTTTAATAAACTTCACATACAGAATAAAAGACAAAATACAGAATTTGTTGATAAGTTTAAAAGAAATAAAATTTTTAAATGCAAATTCTTATTTGTAACAAATACCCAAATACTTTCTTTTAATACCAAAAATGGCTTTAAGGAAGCTTCATTTACATTTCATTAATTTTTAAAGTTCATATGTCCCTTTTGCTCCCTACTCAATCTGATGTAAACATCCAACAAAAATAAATTTAAAAAATTAATATCCTTACTATATAATTCAGTGAATAATATGAAACTTTCTCTCCCTTTTAACACAGTCAGAAAAGAAGAGAGATGCTGGTACCTTAAGTAGTGAGTATTGACAGCTGGCTATCACCAGGCAGAACTGGAAGACCCAGATATCTCTGAAGAAGCCTTGTATGAGAAGAATAGATCCCAAAAATGCTACAAGAATAGCAAGGATGACAGCTAACACATTTTCCAGAATCTCACGATTCCTGTAGATAGGAAAACTTATGAGTAAGTATATTATCAATATAAGAAATTAATCAGAGTGAAGAAAGTCACCAATATTAAATTCATAGTTTGTTTGCTGAGATTTTCTTTGGTACTGGGTTTGAGTAAGATTTTGGATCACACTGAAAAAGAAGCTAGTTTATGTGGAAAATGAAAACAAATTCTTATGTATAAATAAAGCATGCTATAATGAATTGTGGAGTATTTATTTTAATGCATAATATAGTTTTCATTTCTATTTTTAAAACTTCACTCTTCTTAACATCTTTTTCTGTCAAATTTGTTGCAAAATAACTAACCAACTTGGATGACAAATAAAAGAGCTATACAACAAAACAAGTTTGAAAAAAACAAAATCTCAAAACAGCTTCTAGAAAATTAAAAAGTTGTTCATTTGTGCCCGGCTGGCGTGGCTCGGTGGTTGAGCATCGACCTATGAACCAGGAGGTCACGGTTCGATTCCCGATGAGGGCATATGCCCAGGTTGTGGGTCCGATCTCCAGTAGGGGGCATGCAGGAGGCAGCCAATCCATGAGTCTCTCTCATCATTGATGTCTGTCTCTCTCTCTCTCTCTCTCCCTCTCTCTCTTCCTCTCCCATTCTCTCTGATATCAATAAAAATATATTTTTTAAAAAAGTTGTTCATTTCCTACACAAAGAAAGCAGAACACAAAACTATGTCCATAGGAAGATATGTCCTGTTATCTTAAAAAAGTACAGATATGGGTTAAAAAAGACAACGTATCAAAATGATACGACTAATAATGGTTCTCTCTGAATGAAAGGATTATGAATGGTCTCTGTCTTAAAATCTTTCTATATATTGTTCTATAATGCATAAAGAATTATTCTCATAACCATAAAAATGTTTGTATTAATTTGTTGTCAATGCCATATTTAGTCCTCAAATGTCCTAAAGTTAATATTTACAAAACATCCCTCTACTATTTCATGTTAGTTCTACAAAATTAAAACAAGTTCTACAGAATTTTCAAAATACAGTGGTATTTTCCTTGATCTCGTATGGCAGCTATGAAATTCCAGATTTGCTGAATCCAGTGTTCCTTGTCAATCCTGCTACTCCACATACCGTCTATATTGCTAGACACTGTACTTGTGCTCCCCTTTGGCTTTCTTAGTTTTAAATTTTGATAAGTCCAATTTATCAATTTGCTCTTTTACTAATCTTATTTTTGGTGTTACATATCAGAAATTTTGCCTAATCCAAGGTCACAAATATTTTCTCCTATGTTTTGTTGTTTCCAGAAATTTTTTTTGTTTTGGATTTTACATTTGGGCCTCTAAATATATTTGTTATTGATTTCAGAGAGGAAGGGAAAGGGAGAGAAAGATAGAAACATCAATGATAGGGCAACCTCCTGCATGCCCCCTACTGGTATCAAGCCCAAAACCTGGGTAATAGTATGTGCCCTGACCGGGAATTGAACTGTGATCTTCTGGTTCATAGGTTGACATTTAACCAATGAGCCACACTAGCCGGCCGGACCCTATGATCCACTTTGAATTAATTATTGTAATATGGTGAAAGGTAAGAATATGAGTTTGTTTTTTTGGGTTTTTTTTGCACATGGAAATCCAATAGTAATGGCATCCATTGTACTTTTTACCTCAGACATTTTAGTTTTCATCTCTATAAGTTTGCTATGGGTCTTTTTTTATATTTTTAATGTATCTACCTAACTTTTTTTAACATATGGAATACAATTTTAACAGTTTTAATGTCTTTGACTGCTGATTCTAATACCTGTGACAATTACAGGTTGGTTTCAATTGATATATTACTTCCCTCATAAATCATATTTTACCCCTTCCTTGCACAGTTGGTAATCTTTGGATGCAGACACAGTGAACCTTAACTTAGTGGGTGTGAGAACTGGATTTCTATAAATCTTCTTGAGCTTTGTTATGTTACTTGAAAACAGTTTGATCCTTTCAGGTCTCATCTTTTTGCCTTAGTATGTGGGTATGGAGTAGTGTTCACTCGAGGACTGATTATTCCCCACTTCTAGGGCAAGGCTTTCTTGAGTATGCTACACAATGAAATATGACTTGTGAGTTTCTTCCATCTGGCTGGTAGGAACAGGATTATTCCTGGCCCTGTTCTATTTCTTTCACATGGTTCTTTCCCTGGCCTCAGGTAGCTTCTTCACATACATTCACTTATCAGTACTCTGCTGAATAGTCAAGGAGACCCTACTGAATCTGAGGCCCTCTCTGTGAACAGTAATCCTTTCTCTGATATTCTGTCCTATGGACTCAGCTCCATCTCTAACTCAGGAAGTCTGCTAGACTCTATGGCTCACATAATTTGTTTCCCATCTCCCAGGAATCACTACCATTTGTTTTCTCATCTCCAATTTCTTGAAAACCATTGTTTCATGCATTTTGTCTGTTTTTCATTGTTTCAGGTAGGATGATAAAGCCAGTCCTTGTTACTTCATGTTGACTAGAAGTAGCATTTAGTCACCAAGTTAATAACAGACTAAATATTGATTACTATTAAGATTAGTGCTAAGAAATCGGAAACAAAAGTTTCCTCTTGTGCCTTTTATATTTAGGGTCATGTTATCTATAACCTGATAAATATTAACACTTCATTTTTTCTGAGTTTTATATATAGTTGAATGACTCTTATTGATGATTATGTGAATATTTCATATACACATATTAAAATCACCACAAAAAGGTTTCTAATAAATTCAAGAGAACCAATGTTTGGGAACCTTATTAATTTAAATTTTATCTTAAAGGACCAAAGTAGAAAACAATCTCCAACATGCTAACCAAGTAAAAACCTCAATGAGTTATTAGAGACATTTCAATTTAAAAATAAAATCTGCATACATCTTTAATATCACACTATATTCTCACCTATCAAACAAGGACAAAAGTGTGAGTCTGTCAAAGTTAATGCCAATCCATAGCTGGGGCAGGATCCAAAAGCGGTAATAGTGTTTAATCTTTTGGGCAGCATCTTCTGTTGGACCGTAAGTAGCTGCCAGGTCTGGGCTTAGATCAATGTCTTGTTGCTCCAACAAATCTGTATCGATGGTTAAGAGTCTATTCAATCGAATCTGTGGGAGAGAGAGCTAAAAGGAAGTCAGCGTTAAAAGGCTTAAAATATCTTTAATTAAGTCATCATTCAAGGGCTACTCAATTAGCTTAGAAATTATCTAAACTCCTTAATTTTCTATACTAGTCCACTCCTCATGGATATTTTATGACCATTAGAAACTTAATTAATAGGTCTTTTGGGAAGGTCTTATGAGGAAAAGTGTTTGAAACCTTAACATTTTGATTGTTTAGCTAGTAAATCCATTAAAATCATTTACAGTGAATTATGGGTGGCTTCCCTTCTCCCTGCTACATTCATGGCCTTTTCTCAGTAAGTTATGAACCTCACTGCCATGTGAAAGCTAAGGTCCTCTGCACTGGATTCAGTGCTTTCAATGCTCACTTACTACAGTCTTATCACTGCTGTTGTTTACAAGTCCCTCCTACACCCCGCCCCCTTTGGTTTTGGCAGGCTGCTCATCTAGGCTTTACAGGAAATTACATTACACTTCTTTCAGCTTTAACTCATTCAGACCAGTAAACAAGTTTCCCCTTCCTCTGAAAGAATCAAAGTTTACTGAATCTAGCACAGCACAAGCCAGCACTTTGCTATCTCAAAGCTCTCACACAGTTATCAGCAAAGAACACTAACCATTTCCCATTTTTCCTTTCCTATGGAACTTCCAAGAATACACTACAGCAAACACATAGGGAGTTTTTACTTTTCAACACATATCCTATATAATAAAGGCCTAATATGCTAAGTGTCCGGGTGTCTGGTCAGCCGCTCAACCAATCAAAGGGTAATATGCTAATGATATGCTAAGGCCATTCAACCGCTCGCTATGATGTGCACTGACTATCAAGGGGCAGATGCTCCGACCAGTAGGTTAGCTTGCTGCTGGAGTCCGGCCAATCAGGATTGAGTGAGACTGGCCAGACATGCCCTGGAGCCCTCCTGCGGTCCCTGTCCCTCCCCAGCTAGCCAACCTCCCACACCCCTCCCCAGCTCCAATCATGCACTGATGGGTCCCTTGGCCTGGCCTGCGCCCTCTCGCAATCCAGGACCCCTCGGGAGATGGCGGAGAGCCAGTTTCGGCCTGATCCCACAGGCCAGGCAGAGGGACCCCATTGGTGCATGAATTCCTGCACCGGGCCTCTAGTGTAGATATAATCAAGAAAACTTACTTTCTATATATAACACAGCCACTATCTCTAAACATTCACAAAGGCTTCCCCAAACACTTCATCTTATGCTCTATGCCAGGGTTTCTCAACCCTGACATTACAGGAATTGTGAGCCAGATCATTCTATAATGTGGGAGTTGGGCTGTCCACTATTGGATACTTAACAGCATCCCTGGCTTCTATCCACTATAGACCAGTAGCATTCCCCCTGCTGTGACAAGCAAAAGTGTTTCCAAACATTGCCAAATGTCCACTAGTTAAAAACCTTTGCTCTATGCTATCTTACACCTATGGTCTTAAAACCCTGTTCACAACTCTGCATCTTCAGGAAGCTGCCAATAATTAATCCCTTTGGCACTATATTTATCTACCTATACCTCTTATGTGTTATTTATAAGGATTACATCCATTTTGTCTTTCCCAACTTCAGTATACTAGTATACATTTTGATGGCAAAGGCAGTATTATCTTTTTACAATATCCTCACTGTATTTTATGTGGCACATTTTTTTTATGTGGCATATTTTTTATACAGTGATATCATCACTAAGCTTCCAAAACTATACATTGGTATAAAAATAACTGATAGTTAACCAATAAATAACTACCCCAAAATCATAATATTCAAAGTAAAATTTTAAAATGAAACCATAAAAAAATGGCAAAACCAGATTATGGCATTGGTGAGTAAAGTAATCTTTACAAGATACTCTCAAAAGCCTAATAATTGATTCATATATAGCTAATTAAACTTACTGATGTTCCATATTTGTTTAACAAAGGACTACTAAGAAGAGATGTACTATGGGACAGCAAAAGTATTTTGCCATATTTTTCAACAGAATTCCTTTTTCTGATTTGTGTAGCAACTTAATCTGAAAGTGCATTGTTTTATAAAAATAAAAGAAAACTTACCACGTCGTGTGGATAAAATCGAACTGAGGTAGAACTGGATACATGAGAATCGGTATCACTAAAATAAAATGAAAAAGACTTTAGGGAATAAAGAGCTTGACAGGTAACAGGAAAAAAACAAATCATTTAACAGTGTTTGATATTTACAGTGTCTTCACTTTTCTACATCAACTTCAAAATGCAAAATATCATTTTCCTAGAGTTGTGATTAAGAACATAGTCTCTGGGTCAAAGTATCTACATTCAAAATTCTTCACCAGGTGAATGAGATTTTGGACACATTACCCAACTTTTTTATACTTCAGTTTTCCTCATCAGTAACAGGATGATATAGTACCTTTATCACAAGGTTCTTGTCAAGAGTGTTTAAGAAAGCAACTAACATATTGCCTGGACTCATGATAAATTTAGCTATAATGGCCTAGAAACACAATTCAGTGTCCACAGGTCAAGCTTAGATTTAACTGTGAGACCTTACCACATTTATGGTGTAAGCAATTGTTTTTGTCTTGAATTAAACATAATTGTTTCCATTGCTCCATTCTCCTACTGTTTCGACTGCTACAAAATACCTAACACACCAACTTAATCATTTTTGACACGAATTCTGAAACTAAAGGAGCATAAAGGGTATGATTTTCTAAATGTTTTATCTTTTCAGCAGATAAGTGACTTTTCATCTACGTGATTATAGATCCTGTTGCTTTATATAAAACCTCAAAACTTAAAAAAAACTAGGTGAATTGCCCATAGATGTGTACATTTAAATAGGTGTGTCCATTATTAAATGGAAATCCTAATATAATAATCAAATGACCCTAGTGAAAACAGTGAATTAATTCATCAGTAATGTATTTCAAAGCAGCAACTTACATAGATGAATAAGATTAAAATTTTACAAAAAAAATTAACACATTCTAAGCTATAATTATGTCATATGATTAAGATTTCTAAGTTCTTATTTGCTTTTCTACCTTCATCATTATTTTATATAATTCCTTCCTAAGGGAAGATGAAAAAAGAAACTAAATGTAACATATGACCCATAATTTAAGAAATTCCGTCTTCTTTATAGCTAGTAAACACATTTTAAAACAAATGAAAACTGATCATTTAAGATATTTGACCAACCCCTTAAAGAAAGTGAAAAATTTTAATTATACACAAGAGAATGGATGGGTATGAACTTAGTTGTGTAAATATTTTTAATAAGCTTTTTTTACATCATATATTTACAATGAAATCTATAGTTAAATTTGCAACTGTGCAAACCACTGTCTCACTATAAAATCAACAGGAAATTTTTACTTTATTTTTAAAAACACAGGATAGCTTTTGTTTTAAGAATAATGGTTTCCTTTTCCCATAGCAACATATTCTATTTTAACTCTCTAGAGACAAATGCACTATGACAAATTATTTGAGCCAATATAAACAAATGTTTTCAAACAACATTTACATCTAAAGGCTTAAAAACTTTAAACACAGCAAATATATGCAAGTACACACACCCCCCTAAAATGATTTCACACATACCAGATATTGGATGCTCTTCTTGCTGCTGGTTCAAAATTCACAAGTGACATATCACAGCCACCAGTCTCATAAAGCGTAGAAGAGAATTTACCTAGCAAATAAGTGATTTTTAAAAAAAGAATAATCAGAATTTTTCCTTCAACAAACACTAAATTTTAAATGTTACAATTCAAGAAAATTTACTGTAACCGTTCCAAAATATTTTAAAAGAAGTGATTGGCAGGTAATTCAGCATGTGAACTGAGAAGAAATGTTAAACAGTGGTACATAAATGTCAACATACGTAATCAGGTATAGAAAGTAAGGGATTATATCAGCTTTGCAATACCAGTCTCCTCTTTCTCCTCCCAGAACATTCTGAAGTGATCATATGAATGAATTTATTGTTGTTTAAAAGTCACCTGACTACTTGAAAGTGGTGAGTGGCGATTGGGAAAGCTGCTTGTCTTAAGACAGCTCAAACTGCAAGACAACAAATTTGTGTGATTACCTTCAGAGTTCTGTTTGTTTGGTGTGTGTTTTTAGAAAAAGATGAAGATTGTCAAAATGGATATAAAGATAAAATATAATAATGTTGGTAATAAAATTACAGTATTTAATGAACATTACTAGTTGTATGGTTCTACAAGAACTCTGAAAAAATTTAAGAATACTACTTGTACAGACAAGTAGCACTTGTCTGATAAACTGATAAAAGGTTTAGAAAGTATGTTGGTTGTAAAGAAATAGCGGTTTAAAAAAACTTTCTTAAAATGAACTCTATAAGATAAAATTATTTCTGATAATGGAATTTTTAAAATCTGTACTGTCTGAAATTCATTCTCTTCGTTGACAATCTATGCTAGTCCATATCAATGGTGAGTTAGGGAGCATAAATATATGAATATAAATTTCCAGCAAGGCAATGAGAAGAGGTACACACTTCTAAAATCATGTAGGTCTAGTCCAGGCTGCTTTTAGAGTATTTACAAGGTTTTTGTTTTACTAGCTGGAATTACTGAGGTTATGAATATGAATAATATTAAAGGGCAATTTCACCTTCATGGCAGGGCTAAGAGATTTCTCTTCCATAACTACAATGAAAACAATATACAATATGGATTTTTATTTAAGTGGGATCCTTGAAAAATGACAATAAAAGGCCTCCATAATTTAAGAATCTGCAAAACATTTCAACAATTAATTCATTATTTAGGACTAGAATCAGAAAAAAGTACTTTATTTAATAGGATTATTTGAGCACTTTCTATGAATCAGACAAAACATCCAAGTATTTTATTATAGTGTTTTCTGTAATGGCATTTTTTTGTCAGGATAATATACTCCTGCAATAAGAAAACAAAGCATTCTGGGACATGCTCAGTTCATTTGCAGTTTTTTAAGAGGATTATTCAGCATGTGGATTATCTCAAACTGCTGTTAGTCATGAGTCATTCACTCTTAGCACCTCTAGCAGAAACCAGATTAATAAACTAATATGAAATGATACAAGCTGTCAATTTAGCTACTTCTTAAATGTATTACTGACAATTTTTTTAAAGTGGTTTGGTGTGTTGCAGAAATTGTTACTGAAGAAAAAAATAAAAATAAAATACTGGCTTAACTAAAATTTAAAAATTATTTTTAAACTGCAATTTTTTATGCTCTGCTCTTTCCTCACTCATCGTGAATAATCAAAGACTGGTTATGCTACTATAACTAACTTACATTAATAGAAAAAAATCTTATCAAAATAATAGATTGCATAAATACAGAAGAATTTTAAACCTATGTTAAATAAAATAACTAAATCAGAGTAACAAAGAGCTAGAGAGCTTGGCTTCTGTATCTGAAATCCAGTAAGAATGGATGCATAAATATTTTTATATCACATAATTTGTGTGTATTTTATAAATAAGTTAATCCTGTATCCAATAGCATTTAAATTATTAAAGTATAGTCTGGTACTTAAGTATTCCATGGAATTTCTAGTAATATAAGTCTTGTTTTTGGAATATTGGATAAATATTTATATGCAACTGAAGTCAATTAAATATATTATTCTTTGCTATTTTAAAATGGAAAAGTAAAAGAACATTATGTCACTATACAACTTGCTTTTACGTAAAGGTGTCTAATATAAAACTTTTACAGACATAGTTGCATTTTAAATAAATACAAACAAAAATAAAGCATGTCTCTCAAAAGCTTTATAGACAGAAAGAAAGCTGAACAATTGAGCAGTTCTATTACTATATAAATCTACAACTCTGAATGCTTCTATCAAACTATACGAGTAAAACTTAGAAATTTAAACAGAAACATAAAATATGTCTAAGAAACAATCAGCTTTAATTTTATCAAATGTGCACAACTTCAACAGTACTTTTTATTTTTTCCTAAGAAGCTTTTGTCTACCTACTAACTGTAAGAACATGTTAAGGTTTTTAAAAATATACATGACACATGTCAGAACAAACTAACATCCTATTAAGGCTTTCTGGTGTATTCCCAAGTTTACTCCACTAACAGAACAGATTTTATGTCCCTTATATCTTTGGGCTGGGAACCTGACAGCACTTCAGAAGTAACAAATTCTATTTAAAAGATAAGCAACTCAGAAAAAAAATTACACTTAAAAATATTTACCTTGGCTTCAGTGAAAGCTTAGTAACATTTTAATGTATTAATATGATAACTTAAAGGCATCTTCAAAAATAACCAGAACAGAAATAAGTATATATTGCTTTGGTTTATAAAGATGAAGAATATTTTAAATTTGTCCAAATCTTCTTAGAATGCATAACAATTTCACATATATCTCATTTTGAGATTAAAATCATGATCATAGTTAACCTTCAGATGCAAAGTAAAATGTGTCCTTATCAATAACCCTATCTTAACATTATTTTTTAATTTAAATATAATTTCTAATGATCATGAATTGGGAAGAAAGTAGAACATCAATGAAGTATATCTTCTTCACATGAATTATGATTATCAAGCAAGTCATATCATAATTCTACTCTCAGGTCATAATTAATTATATCTAATAAAATGGCTCTGTCACAATTTAAAAAAGAAATAAATCCATTTCTGACAAAACAAACAAGATGGAGGCTGGAATTTCTACCAAAGTTCAATTTATAAATGATGAACAGGAAGATGAGTGAAACTGGATACTGACTTAGGACACTTGAAGCATGTGCCTGAAGGAACAAATGGTGGAACAGACAAATTCAAATAAACACTGGCAAAAAACCTGATAAAAGACATGAGAAATGAATAGGATTCTCTAACTTGCCCTACAAATAAAATCCTCACCACATGACACAAAGTTAAATGCATCCAGACTGTAAGAGTAATGCTCACCCAAGAAACCCAACTATTTGTTTCTTGATGTCACTGATTTTACCGATGTATCCTGAAAGGAGGTGGGTGAACAGAAGGGCAAATCATCTGTTCAGTCTGCATCCTCCAAACCCAACCCTGACACATTGTCTTAGTTGAAAGTACTTTTCTAGTATCGCTCTTAGGGCAGACGGGGCTACAAGAGCAGAGAGACATACAAGAGAGGCAACTTTATAGTGTTTTTTAGAAGGTTGTTAAAGGACCACATACATCTATCTATATGACTAACTTATGTACTCTACAAAAAGAGCTTATTTCTGATGGTGATATGAAAGGCAGAGTGGTTAGGAGTGATCAGGCAGGCAGGCAGATGAGTGTGGTTAGGAGCCAGCGGTCCCATATTGCGAGAGGGACTGCCGGTTTAAGCCCGATCCCCCGAGGGGTCCCAGATTGGAGAGGGTGCAGGCTGGGCTGAGAGACAACCCCCCCCCCCCCCGCATGAATTTTGTGCACCAAGCCACTAGTATTATTATATTTTTTAGAGAAGGCCTTGGATAGTACTCCCCTTATTATCATGAGTGGTGATTATGAGTCTCTGAGGAAACATCTGTTTTCAACCAGATAGAAATTACTCATTTTATTGCTGCTTATTATAGGTTAATGGACTTGTTTCTCCCTAGACAAGAAGCCAGGAAACTTTCTGTAAAAGGCTAGGTAAATATCTAAGCTTTGTGGGCCAGACGGTCTCTTTTGGAACAACTGAAATCTGCCACTATATGAAAGCAGCCACAGCAAAATCATAAATAAATACATATTTCTTTTATTTACAAGTTGGATTTTGCCCTAAGGCTATAGTTTGCCAACCCCTGTCCTAGACCAAAAGCCTCAGGCTTCTAAAAGTGCTTTAATTCCAGTGCTACAATGGAAATCAAGTCACAATGCTCTTATTAATTAAAAGTTTCAATATTGAGAACCAGTCCTTTTCTTCCTGGAATGTTTAACACTATGCTCGGTTTTTTAAACAGGAGAAGACGAAGGAAAGGGCAGGTACAAGAACAAAGAGGCTGGTTCAGAAGAGAGCTTTTGAGGACTGGGAAGGAAAGACTGATAAGACTACTGCTTGGCAACAGTAAAAGAGATTTACTTACTGATATATTTACTGACATGGCCATAGTTCTCTAGTTCTGACTTAACAGGACCTGCCTTACTTCACCGTTAAGTCTTCACTCCCACTGTCTAATCACTAGATCAGGGGACTCTTCTAAAAGTGAATGTACAAGTTCATATTCTGCTATGATTTGATCACCTGCTCACATTTTCTTTATCTTGTTTGAATAATCCACAACAATGATATTGATGACATCACAAGTGATCAAGTAAACAAAAAGGCAAACCACAGAATGGGAGAAAATATTTGTAATTTGTATTTATCTGACAGATTAGCTGTATGTACAATATGAAAAGAACTCTTACACCTCAGTAAAGACAAACAACTCAATTTTAAAAGTGAATAAATGATTTGAACACAATTCACAAAAGAAGATATATGTATGGCCAATAAGCACTTCAAAAGATGCTCATCATCCTTAGTCATAAGAGAAATGTAAATTTAAACCACAATAAGATACCATTATACATCCATTAGAACTAAAATTTAAAAAGCTGACAAATAGCAAATGTCGGGAAGAATGATAACTTGAATTCGCAAACATTGCAAAAACAGTTCGTTAGTTTTATTTGCAACAGCCAAAAACTGGAAAC